CGGTCATTCCCGGTTCTTTTCCCCGTTCCGCAGGCGCCGCCGGCCGGGGACGCCGCGACTTTGGCGCAGCGGCGGCGCCACAACGAGCTGATCGTGGCGGCGCTGCGCGAGGCCGCCCAGACCGACGACAACGTGGCGCACCGCGCGGCGCCGTGCCGGAAGTGACGTCAGCACCGGGACTCCCCCCCGCCCGCGCCGCCGTTTGCCGGCGACCTTGAATTCCCCCCGGAACCATCGGCGCGGGGCGCGCTGTGCGCGCGGGACTCTTTTTGCCGCCCGCCGCACCCGGAGCTTTTTGCGGCGCGGCCACTTCCGGCGGCGCTTCCGGTGCCGCCATGTCGCGCCGGGGCGCGGAGCCCGCGGCGCCGCTGCCGGAGGCGCGGCCGCTGTTCGGCGGCTGCTGGAGCTGCCGCCTGCTGAGCGGCGCGGGGCTGCTGCTGGCCGCGCTCTGGGTGTACCAGGGCCCGCGCGGCGCCCTGCGCAGCGGCGCGCCGCCCTCCATGGCCGCCATTGCCCAGATCACGCTGGCCGCCGGTGAGGGGGGGGGGCGGTCCCGGGGGGCGCGGGATGTTCCGACGCGGCCCCGAAATGTCAAAAAGTGGCCCCGAAAAGCCCCCGAGTGTCCTGAGTCGTCACAAAGCGGCCCCGAAATGCCCCAAAATGTCCCGAAAATGCCCCGAAACGGCTCAGGGCGTCCTCGAACCCATGGGAATGTCCCCACGTGGCTGGAAGTGTCCCCAAATTTCCCCAAAATGTCTCCAGATTCCCCAGAATATCCCCGAAAATTCCCAAAAGGCCCCTTAAATGGCCTCAATTTGTCCCAAAATGGCACCAAAATGTTGCCAAACGTCCTCAAATATTCCCAAAATGGCCCCAAGTCCCAAAATGGCCCCAAATGATCCCAAAATGGCCCCAAATGATCCCAAAATGCCCCAAAAAGTCCCAAAATGGCCCCAAGAAGTCCTAATATGTCCCAAAATAGCCCCAAGATGTCCTCAAAATGCTCTAAAATGGCCCCAGAAATATCCCCAAATTGTCCCAAATGCCCCGAAATGTCCCTGAGGTGCCCCAAGTTGTCCCGAAATGGCCCCAAATTCCCAGATCACCTCAAATTCCCCCCGGAATCCTGGGGAGGGGGAGGGGTTGGGGCTCCCATGGGTGGGGGAGGGTCCTGGGGTGTGCCCAGGTGTGCCCTGGTACCACCAGGTGTGCCCAGGTATATCTAAGGTGCCCCCAGCTGTGCCTCAGGTGTGCCCAGGTGTATCACAGATGTGTGAGCCATGCCCCAGGTGTGCCCTGGTGCCCCCAGGTGTATCTCAGGTGTATCTCAGGTGTGCCCAGGTTCCCCCAGCTGTATCTCAGGTGCCCCCAGATTTGCCCCAGGTTCCCCCAGCCATGCCCAGGTGTATCTCAGGTGTGCCCAGGTTCCCTCAGGTGTGCCCTGGTACCCCCAGGTGTATCTCAGGTGCCCCCAGGTGTGCCCAGGTGCCCCCAGGTGTATCTCAGGTGTATCTCAGGTGTGCCCTGGTACCCCCAGGTGTATCTCAGGTGCCCCCAGGTGTATCTCAGGTGTATCTCAGGTGTATCTCAGGTGTGCCCAGGTACCCCCAGGTGTATCTCAGGTGTGCCCAGGTATGCCCAGGTACCCCCAGGTGTGCCCAGGTGCCCCCAGGTGTATCTCAGGTGTATCTCAGGTGCCTCCAGGTGTATCTCAGGTTCCCCCAGGTGTATCTCAGGTGCCCCCAGGTGTGCCCAGGTGCCCCCAGGTGTGCCCTGGGTACCCCCAGGTGTATCTCAGGTGTATCTCAGGTGTGCCCAGGTGCCCCCAGGTGTATCTCAGGTGTGCCCAGGTTCCCTCAGGTGTGCCCAGGTACCCCCAGGTGTATCTCAGGTGTATCTCAGGTGTGCCCAGGTGCCCCCAGGTGTATCTCAGGTGTGCCCAGGTGCTGCAGCCTCCCCCTCCCTGCAGGTCTGGGCGCCTGGGCCATCGTCATCCTCGCCGACCCCGTGGGACGCCGGCGCCGCCCGGAGCCGTGAGGGGAACCGGCACCGGAACCGGCACCGGGACCGGAACCGGGAGTGGCACCGGGACCGGAACCGGGACCGGCACCGACCGGCGCCCGCGCGCCAATAAAGAACCGGAACCGGCTCCAGAGGGGCTTGGGGCTTCTGGGGTTCATTTGTGGGGGATTTGGGTTTATTTGGGGTTTTTTGGGTTTATTGGGGGTTTTTTTTGGTGTTTATTTGGATTTTTGGGGGGATTTTTAGGGGCTGTTTTTGGTTTCTTTAGGGTCACTTTGGGTT